CAATCATCAGCATCAAATTTGCCAAAACAAGAGACAGCTGGAGAATCATCATCATCGTCACATTCTGCTGCGCCCAGTATCTCTGAGGCACCTATTGCGAACGATGACCAAGAAGTTGTATACCAGGACGAGCCACAAATTGCGGACACAAGTTCCCAACAGAGTCCAGTGGTAGAGAATGACAAGACAGCCTTCATCACTCGACCAGATTCCGATATTCAAGATCCTAATGCGACTACTTCTGATTCAATGCTGGTGGAGGATATCCCAGTACAAGGAAGCGAGTTTTATGAGCTGTTGAAACAACCAGAAGTGCAAGAAACTGGAGATGATGCTTCGAAAGAAGACTTGGTGTGACCATGGAAGCCTTCAAATGACGGATTTGGGGTGCCGATGCCACAACGAAAGGTCGTATGATGTGGTCGAGGCTATAAATGGCCAGGTCGAATTCTAGCAAGGGCGTAATTTAAGAGTCCTCTGGATGGTTGACATGCCACAAATTAAGATTTTGCGTCCCTCCATCCTCCAGCTAAGGGCATCATCAACAAGGAAGTAATCTCCACATTTTTGGTATTCTGTGGAAGCAAGAGGGATGATCGAATACCAGGTACCTTGTACTAATGTTAAAGACAGTACAAACAAACACAACAATACAGTCCATGTGTACTACCGTTTCACCAAGATGAAAGGCGAATAATGTACCGGTACTCGTATAGCACCCGGGAACAACATTGTGATAAAGAACAGATTAATTTTGGTCGCGTCCATCGTTCGATGGATTCTCATTGACCTAGAATTCTACAGCGTCTCCAATACCACCTCATCATCATCAGATTCAAGACACGATGCATTTGAAACGATCAGGAATGAAGATCCAAAACCACATCCGACGACAACGCCCGTCATTGGAGTCTTGCTTCCAACAATCCACAGAAGTACTCCAGTAACAAAAGAGAATACTAACACTGTGATAGTGACCAACAGCCCTAAAATGCTTGCTTCAGTTTGCCTACAGCTGGTTATTCTTCAGCTGATGCTTCTTCTTCAGGCCGTTGCAAGCTCGTCAGACTCAGCGATGATTACACTTCTTGACAATACGATGCAAACCTATCCAGCGGAAACGACAAGTTTCGGTTATGTCCTAAGTGATCGGTCTGTATATCAAGCCAGATTGATGAATCCTCCGGGAAATGATGCTCAGCTGTGCACATTTCCATCACATCTTTTGAATCAGACGGATGACGCTTCACGTTCTGGCAAGCGAATAGCGTTACTTGTCAGCTTGGGAGGATGTGACACGGCCACAAAAGTAGAAGTCGCTCTTGAAATGCATAAACGAATATCCAACTTATTTGGATTCGTTGTCTTTTACAACAATGATCCAAACAACCTATATGGAATTGTAAACGTCACAGGACCATCCAATACGACGTTCAGAGAGGCTTTGAATGAAATGTCTTTCTCTGCTGTATCCACAGCAACAGGCGAAGAAATGATGGGACGCATCCGGCAACATGAAGCGATATCTGGGAGTGCATCTGACTATCTTGGTCCGGAAAGCGATGGGTGGCAACTTCAGATGTTCCTTGAGACCACTGATGACACAGATGATATCC